AGACCACTATTTCCAGAGATGCAGAATTCCAGGAAGAATTTATGTTGAAGCTTTTTTACGTTTGTGATTTGGTGGTTGTATATCCTAATCAATTTGTGCAACCTCTTAGAACTTTCCTTTTTGGGATGGGTGGGCAGGTAGCAGTACTTGGGGTCAAATCCAAGGCCTTACCCATACTAGACAAGTTTTTTGCTACTGACCCATAACCCCATCCTCAGCCTTATATTCTTGAATTTTAAAATGTGGGTCATGATAATATCGTGCTGTGATGACTCTGTGGTCTTTAGACATCACTTCACATTTAGTCAACCCTTAGGAGACACTCGGTATTTCTCATCTATCTGTGCCTTTACTGTTCCTGCATAATTGCTGGGGAGAGATGACAAAGAGAGCCACAGAGATGGTGATCAGTGAAACCATGTACATTTTTCCTACTTGCTTTGCCCAAGGGAAAGGGCACAGTGTTTGTAACCCTTTTAACAGCAGCCAGGTGGCTGGGATCAGGGCCGTTTCTCCTGTTTGCCTTTCTCCTGGTGCTGCAGCTTCATTTTCAGTGTCTGGGGCGGGGGTGGGGGTGGGGGTCTTCTGTTTCACTTCTTGATTTCACGATAGATGATCATAAGCCTAGAGTGAAACCTGCCTCAGAGGTAGAGGAAGGAAGAAGCTGACAGACAGAGGAAGGAAGAGCAAGGTGAGGGCTGGGACAGCAAAACACCCTCTCACCCCTGCCTGCCCATGTGTTTTCTTCACTGGTTCTGTCCCTGACAAGCTAATAGGGGCCTCGGCAGGCATTTGCCATTCCACCCATTCCTCGAACTCGCTTATCAAAAGCAAGTTGAAGATGTAGAGAAAGAAGACAGCCATAAAACATTAGAGCTTTTGGAAGTTTACAGATGTTCAGTTTGCAGATGCACATTTTTTCTTGTCAAAGTCTCTCTAATTTAACTGACACTCAAAATAGGGCCAGAGAGACTCCATATTGAAAGCATTGCATTTACCATGTTCCTTGGATCCATCTTGCATGAACTAATGTCTCTATCCCTTACACATACTTTGATTTGTTTCTGTTTGTCTCTTCCTCCCTCCCTCCTCTTCTATTTTCTCCCCCACTCCCCATCATGTTTGTATGTTATGTCAGGTCAGAGTACAACTTCAGGTGTCAGTCTTTGTTACCTTGTTTTTGAGGAAGAGTTTCACTGTTTTCCACTGTGAGGGCTAGCTGAGTTAGACTTTCTGGGGGTGATTCTGTCCCTAGCTACAATCTCCCTGTAGTAGCATCGGGGTTACAAATGTTCTCTACTGTGTTCCGTTTTTATTTGAGGGCTGGGGATTTGAGCTCAGGTCCTTACACAGGTACGGTCAGTACGTTAGCCACTGACTTTTCTCCTCAGTGCCCGTGTTGTTCATTCTTCCCATTGTTCTTGTTTCTGTTGTGTTTCCTAATCTCACGGCTCTCCAGTTCCTGATAGGAGCCGCCTCTTTAAACCTGCTCTCGTTCTTTTGACAGAGCCTCGCATTTTCCTGTCTCCTTTCTATGTTACTCCCTTCATTGCACTTAGATAAATGTAACTCCCCCAGACATTATACTTTTTGAGTCATGGAGGAGATTCTGATTCATCTGGAGACATAGTGATAGGCATACGTTTATTTGATCATTAAATTAATAGGTATTTTTGTTGCATCCTTATAATGAACTAGACTTTGCGGTTATAATATGATAGGAGTTCTGCTCTCAAGCATGGGAGACTTGACTTTGGGACATAGGTGTGCTGCTAGTCATGTGTGCATGCATGACAGCAGGGCAATAGTACTGTGACTGAACAGGGTATCCAGCCTGGACAAAGGATTAAATGCATGGCTTACAGTCTAAAGAACCACCGGCAAGTAATTGCTGGGGCATGAATGATGCATTATGGGTAAGAAATTATTTGTAACTGAGGGGTAGCTTTTTTGAATGGGTTCAGTGAAAAAATCTTGAGCAAAAGATGAATTTTCTGTCAGATGTAAATGCTATCACACCATCTTAGGAATATTCTCATAAAGGTATTAGAGATAGGCTTAGTATCTGTTATTAAAGTATCATCACATGTAGAAGTATTTTCACCGAATTCTGATGAACCTCTGAAGATCAGATTATTCAGGGTCCTTATTAAGTTAATTGAGACCACACTGGGATTCAGAACCTCTGAGAGTGAAGTCTGCTAATGAAAAGGAAAGTAGCCAAGGGCACACCTCTGCAGAATGACCTTAGGACCTCATGCCCAAAAGTCAGTACAAAAGATGAATTTTTCAATTGTATGGCAAAACACTATAATTGTAATTTATAATTTTTTCTAGGATTACTAAGATGTTTCAATATCTGGGAATCTATCAATATGATTCATTACATACTTACATACATACATGCATACATACATACATACCAAGTTAAGAGAGATAAAGAAATTGTGTCAATGAATGCCAATGGGGAAGTGGAGCCTCTGTACAGTTGCCAGTAACTGCAGAGGAGGTACATATGCTAATCAACCACTTTTGCTTAAGATATTTTCAAGTTGTCTGTATCTTAGGATAGCACAGTGACACCACCCAGCAATTTCCCAGTCATTTCAGCAGGTTGGGAGATTGATAAGTTGCTTTCTAGTAAACTAACATTAGTGTGTAAAAGTACTAGAAGAATCCAGTAAAAAGAATATGCTGCTACATCCCCCCCCCCACCCATAGGAGGGTCACACAGCCCAGCATCCGAGTTGGGGGGATTGGAAGAAAATGGAGTCGGTGGAGCTAGGCACACCATAAAGACAGGGTCAGCAACACAGAAGATTATGAACCCCAGAGCACTGATGACATCTAGAAGATGCTGTGCTGGCCATCTGCAGACAGATGTCACCCTCTGTGGAGGGCAAGCTCCAAGTGCTTCACGCGAGGGCGAAGGCATGGCAAGGAGAGCTCACAAGACAGAGGGTGCAGAGCTGACTTTGGTTTTCATGAATCTTACCCTCTTCCTCCTGCTACAGTTCCAGCAATTACCTTTTCCTTTATGTCTGCAGTGTAGCTAATTAACCCAGCACACCAGAGTTAGTAAGTAGTGCAGGCTGGCTCTGCAGATCTGTGGCTTTGTCTTCAAGACCATCACAGGCTGCATTAGTTCTTATTGAAAGGCTTTTGTTTTCGAGTAGCTGAATGTGCAGCAAAGGAACAGGGATGCTATTAACCAGTTTAAAGACAAACAATCAAAATTTATACTACAAGCATGCATAAGGCTTTGGAACATTTAATCCTTTCTGGATTTCATTTATTCACTGTTTCCTCTTCACCTTAGTCATGCTGAAAGTAAAGATAGTACTGTTTTCCCAATTTCATAAAAGAGGCTCAATTAATAAAAAAAAAAGGTTTTTTTTTTTCCCCCTCTACCTTAGAGAAAAGTTTAGTTTGGGTTTGGGAACTTAAGTCTGTTTGAATGATTCTAAATGCTCAGCTAGATTTAAAAACTCTTAGTAAAATAGACATTTATTGATTATTGTTCTTTATTGGTTTTGTGGCATGCCTTAGTGCGGAAATTTGTGGATATGTAAAATACAGTCCCTGTCTTCTCATGAGCTCACGGTTTCTCAAGTATATGCGTCTTGCTGCATGTACACAGGGGAGGACAAGGAAAAGAAGGGCTCTGAGACCTGAGGGCCACCAGTGTCATCTTTGGCCTGTGTCTTTAATCTCAACTTCCTTCCCTTTGGTTATCCATAGAGTTATCATCATCTTTGGAAAGAATAATGCCTGTTTCTCTCTGGGTACAATGATCTATCATTCTCAGTCACTTTCTGTGAGAATGCAGGTATTTCCCCCTTAGTTTTCATTACAATTGATGGTATGTGCATAAAGCCCTTTGAATTTTTTTTTTTTCGAGACAGGGTTTCTCTGTAGCTTTGGAGCCTGTCCTGAAACTAGCTCTTGTAGACCAGGCTGGCCTCAAACTCATAGAGATCCACCTGCCTCTGACTTCTGACTGCTGGGATTAAAGGCGTGTGCCACCACCGCCTGGCCCTCTTAGATATTTTTTAAATTGGTTTTCATAAAAGCTCCATGAATTAAGGCGGCCTGGAATTTTAAATCATAATTCTTTTGACCCTGTCCTCATTTGAGTCCTAGATCATTCTGTGTGCCCGTGGTGTGGGCACATACGAATTCCTCAGAATATTGCTTCTCAACTTCTTCTTCCCTCTTGATTGCTAAGCCACATGCTGAGGCCTCCATTTGTTCCTGCATTTGCTCCGTGCTTTGTCTTTATAGACATCTGGAAGTAATCATGTCACCCTCTTAATTAATTCAGTTCAATTAATAAATTACTAGGTGGATTTGGGGCTAGGAGCGGGGGCAGGGCCCCTTCCGGCCTCCCTGTGCTGGAGGGCTCTTGCAATCAGGCCTGGAGGGCCCTCCTTAGAAAGTCGGTGGGACTCTTTCCCAGCAGGCAGGTTACCTGGAGGAGTGATTGGCATATCCTGACAGAGAACTGCAATCTCTCTTCACACAGTATGGATACTCTGTTAGAACAGTGTCTGGGCTGGGCTGCTTCTTCTCCCTCATGGAGATACCGTAGCTTTATCTGCATTTCCCGGCTTAGGTGTTAGCGGCCATTTCTTTGATTTGCCTGGTCATTATTTCATTGCTGGCTTTGGACATTCTTTCTCTAATAAACGTCAGTGTTTGTTTCAGGTATTTTTGGTAACCAGCGCCTCTCTGCTCTGCCCCCCAGTGCCTCTTCAGGGTAGGGGGCAGCTAGTCTTGTCGAGAAGACATGTTGAAGTATGCTATCATGTCTCTGTTAAGAAAATAAATATTTCCGTTTTTTCTAATGCCTACTGGATAAATTTAAGCCGGGTGTGTGTGCGGAATTTTCTCTTGGGCCCCTGTCATCCACTCTAAATTTTTGGCCAGCTTCTTTCTCATACATCCCTCCATCCACACTAAACATTGTATTGTCTGTTTTTCTGTTTTTCTTACTGCAGATTTCAACCATGTCTCACCCATCTTGGCTGCCACCCAAAAGCACTGGTGAGCCTCTTGGCCATGTTCCTGCACGCATGGAGACCACCCATTCTTTTGGGACCCCCAGTATCTCAGTGTCGACACAACAGCCACCCAAGAAGTTTGCTCCAGTAGTTGCTCCAAAGCCCAAGTACAACCCGTACAAGCAGCCCGGAGGAGAGGGTGAGTCGTGGGGACTGGAGCGGGAATGAAATCAGCATCAGAGGTGTGATTTGTAGTTAGGGGTGGATCAGAGAAGGAAGCTTCTCGGTGTATTTCCCACAGTTTATGAGCTGTCCCATTTTAATGAGCTTTTCATAGTCATCCGTGCCAACCACCTTTTAGAAACAAGGAGATTAAATCCTCACAGAGTTGGATGGCTGGGGTTTTACAGTAATAAAAAGCAATAGTGGCTCAGATAGAAACGTGACCTCTTTGTTTACAGCTCAGAGACATTGTATAGCCTATCCTCTTGTGGGGATGTGTCCTTCACCCTGTGGTTCACATCAGACATGTGTCAGAATGGCACCAAGCAGTAGTCTAATGAGAAAGCCATAGGACAAAAACCCTGCAATAGTTCCTGAACTATGTTGCTTTTCTCTCTGCTGTTAGACAAAGTTGTCCATGACACCTGTGTATGTTGAAGTTACAGCTGGTTCAGAGAAACCCCGGTTCAGTTCCAGGGCTTTTAGTAGCAATGCATTCATTGTACATCAAGTAGATTTTGAATGTCTGCATGAGCCGAGCATGCAATGTGTGGATCTTCCATGCGCTCACACATCAGCACACTTGGCCACTACAGCGTCTTTGTATCTGTACCAATCACTGTCCACATCTCCTTCATGTACGAAACAATAGAGATGAAAACCAAACAGAGTAGCGTGAGACTTCTAGAAGCCGAGAATGAAATGCATGCTCTTTCTGTCTTCTGTGCCATCCGACTTTTGACAAATGGCTGTTCTGTCTCCAGGGTTCCTTCCCTTGTGTTCTTGGATGACATCCTTGTGTTTGTTACAGCAATGTTGTCGGGGATTATTTCATACCCTATGGTATTGCCTCTACTTTCTGGTTTCTCTTGAGTTGTCCCCACCTCCCAGGAACCACATCATTAGCCTACCACTTTATCTACTCCATTGGCCTGCTAGTGTTTTAAGAATTTTGTCATACCCGTGGTTCAGATGTCTGCCTTCTGAAAGGTGACTTCAGGCCTAGAAGATATGGGAAGGAAGGCTAGCCCTCTTTGCATACTCGAGCTGTGGATCTTTGTGGGTTTCTGTGGTCCCTTCTTTGAAAAGGCATTGCCAATGTATGAGCATTCTTTTCTGGGAAAAGTACAGGCTGCCCATGTACTCCCTGAAATCAGAGCCAGGCCTGGACACTTCATCGCCCTTGGAGGAGACGGCACTTCTGCAGTTCACTAAGGTCTTCGTGAAGCTGGTTTGCAATGACTCTAGGCAGCGATTGTCAACCTCTGGGTCATGACCCCTTTGGGGTTATGAAACAACCCTTGCCCTGAAGTCCTATGTCAGATACCCTACGTATCAGATATTTACATTGAAGTTCATAACAGTAACAGAATTACAGTTATGGAGTAGTGACAAAAGAATTTTATGGTTGCGGGGATCACCCCAATCTGAGGAACTGTGATAAAATTCCAGCATTAGGAAGGTTGAGAACCACTGCTCTCGAGAGTGCAGGACTCAGACATGGTTAAGGGGGGCAGCCCTTGCTCAAGAACAAGGGAGCCATGTGTTGGCTTCCTGGCTTGTTTTCTTAGTTTAGTTCGTTCCCTATCTGGGGAGTTCAGACGGACTTCCTGCCAATAGGGAGAAAACAACGTCAGAGGGCTTATACAGAAGGGTTGTGGTGTGGGAGCTTCAGTGGGCATGAGAGCTGAGCAGATGTTAAAGGGTCTTTGTACGCGGGTTCCACAGAAAATACGTGGGCCATCATGAGAAGAGACACAGGCAGTGATGTTTTTTCTTCCCTTTTGAGAGCTAGGAGTCATCCATAGTGAGACAAGGCCCTTTGTCATCCCCTGGCTTGTGATGCTCCTGCCTGTTCTCTGTGTGGCAACCCACTGGTCTTTCAGATACAGTGGTGTAAACTAAACTGCTTGCCTCCGTTTGAGCTCACAACTCCTTGTCCCTTACCACCCAGTTTTCGTTTATTACCTGTTGGAATTGCCTTTGTCCCACTTCCCTGACAATGTCGGGTGTACCCTAAATCCGAAGTTACCCCTTCCTCCTCTGCAAACATTTTCCTCACTGTCACATTTCTGGACTTTTTACTGTTGCTCCTGCTTGCCTCTGTCGCTCACTGAACAGGTAGTATATACCCCATTCTTCTCTTTCTGTTGGATGGACGTTTCATGGAACCCTATGAAGTAGCCCAGACCCACTCCCACAAAGAAACTGAAGCTCCCATAGGGGAGATAGGCCTCTCTGTTTTCTGGCTAGGGATTTTCTGTGTCAAGGCTGTTCTCATAGGCGGGGTGGGCTTCAAGTTGCCTATTTCAGTGACTTTCCTTCTCCCATACCCATACCGTGAGGTTTTCATTGGAGGAGTTACTAAACAAGGCAGCCTTCAACTTACCAACGGCGTTTCTCACATTAGCTTATGTCTGTGATCTCTAGGGTTTGCTTTCTTACTTTTAAATTCTGACTGTGGAAGTAGAAAAGCACCCACATGGTTTCCACGCCAGCTTATATTTATGTGATACCCATATGCTATAATTTTCCTTATAAATCATTACGGTAATAATCTTTGTCTAAAGAGCTTTGACACACTGTTGGGTGTGCCTTCTCTCGGTCAGTGGTTCTTTAAGCCTTAGGCCCTTTGATTCTCAGAGAATTTTCAATGAATTTTTATTTCCTCAGCTGTTTTGAACACCCCTACATTTCCAAATACTGTCTGTGTTCAGCACTGAATGCTAAGGTAGACCCCGGCCCCTCGTGTGTGTGTGTGTGTGTGTGTTGTTGTTGTTGTCTGGTACAGAATGTATATTTTTTATTGTGTATGAATGTTTTTTAAAGCTCTTTGATATGGATTATGATATTTTTCCTCAAGAGAAATGAGATGGCCCAATTTTCTTCAGGTTATAAAGTGCCACCTTTCAGGATTGTTTATCCTGTAATCTGGCTTCTGCCTTAAGAACAACTATGAAAACAGGCAGGCAGAACCAACAACATGAAACCTTAAGCTTTGATGGTACAGGAAAGTGGAATTCTTTTTCTGTTCTTCACAGGCAATGAAGTATGTCATCTTTCCTAAGGTATTGTTTATTTGAAATGGCTTTGAGGTTATTCTGTTATCGTCTGTCTGTCTATCTCTGTCTCTTTTTCTGTTTCTCCATTGTTTGATAAGTTTGTAAAGTTGGAGTTGCCTTGTGATGTAGAATTATCTTTCTTTAATCCCTAAAATTCCATTTTTTAAATATTTTTTGTTTGAAAAGTGACTCCACAGAGCCCCGACTCTGGGTGGTCACGTGGTGCGGTCCTTGATGGTTGGCTCAGCAACTGCATTACACTGTTTTGTTTGTAATTTTCAGAAGATAAGTTTTACTGTTGCTTTCTCAGGCCAACAGAACAGATGTTCTTCCCGTTTCACTGATTGCTAGACCACCAGAAATGGAGAGCTTATTAAAGAAGGATGTAACAGGGCTGAATATATAGTACTGTACCTAGTGCATGCACACATGCATGCATGCAAATGCACACATGCACACATGTGTGTGTGCCTGAAGACATGCATCGCATAACAAAGAAGGCGATTCTTCATTTTCACATTCTTACTGATTATATGTTTTTTTTTTAAAAAAAACTTTTAAAGAACATTTATTTTATTTTATGTGTGTATTTGCCTGCATGCATGTCTGTGTATTATGTGTGTGCATTGCCTGAAAAGCTCAAAGAAATCCTCATGTTATCTGGAAACCCCCATGGAGTTATAAACAACTGTAAGATACTAGGTGGTGGGTGGTGGGAATCGAATCCAGGTTCTCCAGAAGAGCAGCCAGTGCTCTTAACCCCTGAGCCATCTGTTCAGTACCTGATTTTAAGATTTTAATGTATTATGTTCTTTGGCTATTTAGCTATACAACCTTATATTTCATATAATTCTACTATTCTAGTATTTCATGTATTTGTGTGCAATTACATTCAAAGGTTGACCCTTTCTGCAAACTATTCTTAAATATACTACCTTGTGCACTTCTGCATCAAGAACAATGCCTGTGCTTTTACTGGTCTGAGTCTAAGAAGGCAGAGCAGATGAATGGCTTCAGATGGGATTCGTAGGCCAGCACATTTTCTTCTCTGTTGTTCTGTGCTGTCCTCTGATGTCAGTAACTGCATTCCATCCAGAGGAAATAGTTGTAGAGCATCGCTAAGCAGGCACAGTTAGTAACCAAATGCCTTGACAGCCTCAAGAACTGAGTTTCCCTGCCAGAAATATATCCATGCATATTTCTTTTCTGTGTTCATAGTTGGGGCATTTTGCACACATATATATGGAGTTGTTTTGAGTGTTAGAAACAGGAAGGGTTTGAGAATTGTTCCCTTTGATGGCTGTGTATGCATCATCGAAGTGCTAGACAGGCACCCTACTACAGCACAGCCCTACCCTAAAGAACTGGTGCTAGCCCCATAAAGTGCAATCTTGTCTCTAGAGTCCTGTTACCTTTGTTCCGGTAAGGTCATCTTTAATGTGACTTTGGAACTACAGATAGCACATGTATTTTCGTGTGCTTGCCCATTCTCATAAATCATCAGTAACCATAGTCAAGCTGTTGCAGTTTGTGAGATTTTGCTTGTCGTATTTCAGAGGGCATTCTGAGGATCTTCAGCATTCAGCACTATATCAGCAACTCCTCTGAGCCGTGGTGACGGGCATGCCCTGTGAGAAGCTCACATTCTCAGTCACCCTGGCGTACAGGACATTGCTGTGGATTTTCAGATCCTCTTGGGCAAAGAGGACCAGCTGTTTCTTCATTAAAGAATCAGATGCTAATGCTGTTCAACTGATGGTTACATCTTGAAGAAGAAGGAACTTGTGATTCCTAGGTTCTTATCAGGTCACAGCAGGTGTTCCTAACCCTCCATGCCATCCCTTCTACTACACAGCTCTGGGTGGATGGTCTGTGATAGTTTTACCATGAATTTGGACAGAATACAGTTCTTCTT